CTAGATTTTCCCAGCTGTCTTTGAAAACTAAGAGGAGGATCATTTGATCCCACAGTTAACTATCATCTTCGCTTATTTAGCTCCCTTTCACTCAAGGCAGAGAGATACGAGTATGTTACATATGGTAATTATATACACGCTCCCCACCTGCTCCTTACCTTCTTGTTTCCCCTCCGTGGGAGGGATAGTGTTCTCGGTCTCAGAGGTTGCTGTAGCATTCTTGCCTGAATCGTTTTTTGTGGTGTTCTTCTCCTTTTTGGGTTTGGGTTTTGCAAACTTGGCCTTATTCAGAAGATACTGCACTTCCCTGTCCAGGCCTGCTATCTTGAGCTCTATATCTTTGGACAGCAGGATGGGTTTCTCAGTAGGAGAGAGCTTGTTCTGTTCAGCCAGCGTCTCATTTTTCCAAATCTGTGGGATGGGAGGGAAGACGTGCTTTTCGGATGCTTTTTGGTTCCAGGAACCACTGTACATCACAGTATCTCAAAGTCACCACTCCTGGGCCTTCTAACTTACTCAGGATAACGCTGCTCCCTGCTACATTTCCACCAGCTTCTTAGCTACCCAGACACAGGACAAAACGAAGAAACGGAACCCTCAAAAAGCCAGTGCCTGCTTTTAGAAACTGCAGCCAGATTACTGGGCTACACCACCGCTCCTGGAGACAACTGTCCACACGCAACACAAGAACCATTATCCCCCCAAAGCAGCCTGGGGTCAAGCTGGGCATTAGAAAACACTAAAACACACATAAGAGGTTTGCTGGTGGCACGGAAACAAGACGTGCACGCTCTATTCCACGACCCCGAGTGAAAGTACATGACCCGTTACTTCAGACAGGAAACACAACCCAAACTGCCCCCCCACCCCCCCAATCATTCGATCCTTTATTACCGTTGTTTCATTGATGGCTTTCTCCAGTGTACTCAGTTCCACTTCTGTGAATATCTGATCAGACTCTGGAATCATTCGGGCTCCCCTTAAAGATAAGAAGAAAGTTGATTTCTGTTAAACCAAACAGACTGTACCTTGGCAACTCAGTGTTTACAGCTCCAGTAATCACAATAACAACTAGCCACTGCACATGCCAACCAATTAGGACATTTTACATTCATGTCTCTTGCACCTGCAGGAAACAGAGTCCTAAAGCAATCTCTGGATGCTAAGAATGGAATACAGAGCCAGCAAATGCAGCTATCACGAGATTAGAAAAACAGGGAAGATAGAAAAAGCTGAGGCCGTAGGACCACGATGGAAAAATCTGCTTGCAAGTGGTGTGTACAGCGTTGGACACTTCCTGTGCCCCCAGTTTAAAGAGAGCTTGCATGCTTCTGTTAATGGGTTCTGCAGAACCGAGCACTAGTAAGCAGGGTTTTGATCGTCTTTTCTCAAGAAGCGCTAGTGACTGTCAGACCACGTTCCATCCGGTCACGTTCTGTGGGCATCTCTTACATTATCAGCTGCACGACTCTCCTTCCCAACAGCTTGCTCTTACTTGAGAAAGATGGTTGAGTGGTTGAGCAGACTTTCCAGGGCAGCCAGGCGTTCCGGCCACTTTCTCCTTTCCTCGACGCGGAAGAAGAGGTTCCTACAAAGCTTTTTCAGTTCTGAAAGCTTGTCTTTCAGCTCCTGCAAATGGGGGAGAGGGGAAAGGAGACAATCAGTTTGCCCACTGTCTAACATTGTAAACCTCAGAAGTTAAAACTGCAGTTTTTGTCATTCTCTCTATCCAATATACTATTTCAATACAGTAAAAAGGGCCACGTGACTAAGCTTTATGTGGAATCAACAGGTTACTGCTGAAGCTGTTGAAGACGCACCCATGGCTGGAAGAACTTCATATTTTGTTCGGTGCATAACGCACTGAGAAAGCAAGAGACTTTCAAGAACCAGATTACAAAGGATCAAGATGGATCAATACTCTGTCAGCCCGTGCGGTCATTTCCATGTCAGTGATAGCAGACTGGTGTCCTGACTACATGCAGCAATACCTTAGTTGCAGCTGCGTAGCCCTCCTCCTCCATCCAACTGGAAGCCTCGCTAAGCTTTCTGGAAATTTCTTCTCTCTGCTCCTCTGTTGAGACAAACTGGTACTCCTCTTGGTAAAGCTTGTCCTGAAAAGAACAAAGCAAGGGCTCCCGTCAAATACCACTGAGCGTGGAAGCATAAAACAACCAGGTCACCCACTTGCAACTGGGCTGGACTGTGAACTCCTGGGGTGCTGCCTGCACTAGCCAGGAGATTCTCATGCAACCCTCCCAAATCTGAGCTCCTGCTCCTAGCGTTACCAGGAGCATGATGGCAATACACGAGGTATATAGACACATGCGCACACCAGGCATATGATGGTAAAGCTCCAACCACCGTAATTTCACACGCACTTGACATTAGTTGCCTCTTCTGCACAACGGTTCTTGAGAAGCTGTAGCTTCTTTACAGCCCGAGTACAATTGTTCCAAAACACACAGGTAAGTGCACGTAAGGGATACTGGAAACCCAAAGTGTAACGTGTTAGACACGCTGAAGGAAAGTGTTCATTCTGTATCAAGGAAACCTCCCAAGTCCACACGGGCTTGGGAAGCCTAATGGTAGCAGAAAAAGTGACTGAAAGACGAAGGCTGGGCTCTTCAAATCAGCTTCCCCCAGCTCAAACAAGTCCCCTGCATTCAGATCAGCCAAGCTGCGCAAGGCACTTCTACCTGCTCTCCAGGAATTCTCATTTCTCTACATCCCTCTCTTACCTGGGTCTCAAAGATGAATGACTCCAAGCTGTTGGCAGATTTTTCTCTTTCCTGTTTCTCTAGGTCTCTGACTGTCAAGTCTTGGAGCCTAACATTCGAAGAGAACAGAAATCAAAGGTAGTAAGTGCCTTTAGATGAGCACCACTTTGTATACATCAGCTTCTGAGGACAGCAGCACTACGTGAGCTATCACCGTTCCAAAGCAATTCACTTCCTTTATCTAGAGCTTTAACCCAGGAGAGCCGTTTCAAACATACTTTTTCATCGAGCTCTTCAGTTCATCCTCCAGCAGGTCAGGCACATCGTTTACATCCAGTTCCATGGTGATCTCATGGACGAGCTTCTGCTTCTTGGGTGCTTTGATCTTCTTCTCTTCCTCCGTTTTGGTGACTGTGCTGTCACCGGAACTTTTGGACGGTTCTTCCTCTTTCGCAGTTTCTCTATTTTCTTTGGGATCCTGTAACAGATAAAGTACATTCTCAGGCAGGGGAACAGTTTGGCAGATTTTGCACCTTTTTTCCAAGGCAGGGCACTAACAGGGAAAGAAGAATTCCACTGAGGAAATTCCACTTCTCAGACACCGAAATCGCCGCCCCATTCCTTCAATCTGATGCTCACCTGAGACTCTAATTTCTCGCCTTCTTCCTTTTTCTGTGACTCTGCTTTCGGAGGGGCAGTTTCTGCCTGACCTGGAGACTGCTGTTTCTCTTCTCCCTGCTCTTCACCAGCATCTTCTGCACTGCTTTTCTGGTCTTGTTTCTCCCCTTGCTCTTCTTTACCTGTTTCTGCTAGGCTCTCTTCTTCTTCCTGGTCATCGCAGGCAAGTAAAGGGGGAACCAAAACAGCGTTTTTAATGTAGAAATTCCATGCAAATGTTTCACAGAACAGATAATTCTCTGCAAAAAAGGTACGTATGAAAAACAGCACTCACAGTGACTGCAGCCATTAGCGAGAGACTGTGCTGAGCGAGAATATCTATTGAGAGTCACTTCAGTGCAGGACACGACACTGCGACAAGGAGCTTTTGTCTCACTAGAAGGAAACCTAATCACTACTGCCAGCATAATGGCAGCTGTGCCCATACGGCCTGGGAGAAAGCAAGGAGCCTGCTAGACACCTGCACAGACAACACACAGGCAGAAGCCTATCCGTAGAGCTCCAGGACAATTTAGAAACGAGAGACTTCCCCAGAAACAAGTCCTGCAACATTAGTCTACCGCTGCTGGACTTGCCAGCAAAAAATCACAAGTTTCTTTAAACGCACGCCACGTGAAACTCAAGAGGAATATAGCACCTTCCGAAAATGCTTAAAATCCTGACATGCTGCCAGACACCTTTAATTCTGCCCACGTGAATCACTGCCTCTTTAGCAGCCATAGCAGGACCCGTGGGCTCCCTCCCGCTAGCATCACCCTGGGGCTCACCTGAACCGAGTCCGTCAGGTTCTCTCCAGTCTCTGGCGTAGGGCCACCGCCCCCAAACAGGCTTGAGATGGTGTTTCCAAGTTCTGTCGATGGGAGACACAAAATCCAGAATATTATGTATCCAGAGGAGGAAGAAAGTCATCTTCAGCTCTCAGTTCCTCCCCTCACAACCATAAAGATCACCAAGGAGCTCCCTTGGCGGTGTAGGTTAGCTACATACGCTTCAGAAACTCATCCTTCCCTGACCTCACTTTGTGTTTTTGCGTGCACAGACAAGCGGGGCCTCTACCTCTGCTGGAACATGACCTGAAATCTGTAACTTTGACTAAAAAGCTTCAAGCTTCAGCCTGTGCCTGCATTAGCCATCCCTGCATCTCCCCTTCACCTCCCAACAGGCAGATTTCCAACTCCTCTTTATAGGGAAGTCTGTGCCCTAAAACCTGAGCAATGCAAAGCACAGATCAGGGCATCACAACCCAGACAACGAGAAGGGAGGCTGCTGTGGGGCTGTGGATGCAGGACTTCCCTTCAGGACAGACCTCCTGAAATTAGCAGCTGTGGCTGAACCAAGAGGAAACAACTCCTGTTTTTCAAGCTGCAATGCATCCCATAGTCAGCTTCGGAGCGTATGACATTTCAGTGCTCCTGGCAGCACCCAGAAGCCACTTGCAAAGGGCTTTTAGGTATTTTGGAGCTGAATACGCAATCAGAGGCCATGGCTAACCGTTTAATTTCCACGTCCCAAAACCATGGTGCTTGCTTTGCTCAAGGCAACGATGTGCTTTAGCTACCCCAGCTACTGCAGGTAAAACATGACAGTCAGTACGAATATCAAAGTTCAGCATTTACTTGTCAGCGTTGACTCCTCCTCCAGCTTGTCTTCCACCAAGGTCTCAAACACAGATTCCACCTTTGAGAGGGGAGCACAGAATTAGTTTTAAGCGGGAACCATCAATACCGGAGAGAGGGACGGAACTGGAAAATACATAGGCTGACAAACATCACAACAGGGTGGTGCTTACCCGGTCAAGACTTAGTACTCCACTCTCATCCATGTTGAAGTGAGCTTTGATGCCTTTGGACTCATAGTCTGAGTACTTCTTGAAACTGTCCCCAACTCCCTTCAGCCTCACGGTAGTGAGATTGAGAGAACCAAAAATCCTGACGCCACAAAGACAAAAGCAGAGAGAAAACTTAAGGTAACAATGCTGCAGAACAGCTAACCAGTTCTCACAGCCACGTTTACAGTGATGGACAACTGCACAAAGCAAGGAACCAGCACGGTTCGGTTTGCTAAAGCGCATACAACTCTGAGAACAGACCTGCAAATACACGCTGCTGGCCAGTCAGATTCACAGGCCTGCCTGCCAGTAAAATTTTCCAGCTAGGCATATCGCACTGCCACGGAGCTGTCTGCTCAGATGCTTGCCTCAACTCACCGCATGTCATCCTGGTTCAGGAAAGACAGATCTCCATAGTTGACATAGAACTCAAAGTCGTCTGTGTAGCGGTTGAAAGTGATAACTTTGCGCTGTGGATAGGGCGCCATGCGCTGGAACAAAATCCTCTTGTTATGCTTTAAACTCTTGGATTTATCATCCTCCTCAACTTCACGAGTAAACTCCACCTGCATCACAAACAGAAAATATGACTCAGCAACTGCAAGCTTCCTCTATGGCATCTTACATCAGAGGTTTCCGCAGCATTTGGCTGCTCTACCTCGTGCAAAAGTTGGGGGACAGGCAAGTATTTCTCAACATATGTTTCTATATGCCTGGCTTCTTGGATACAGCACTTCTACAGTAGGGCCGACTTTCTTCTGCTTTATTAGATTGGCAGAAAGATCTCCACAACCTCCTTGGCTCAAAGGAATCCAAGAGGTCACCTGGAACATTTCTCCCAGCACAGCCCCATTTACCCATACCTTGCACAAGAGAAAGCAAGCCAAGGGTTACCTGGATAGGAAACACGGCGGCATCCCGAACAACGAAAGGCTTCACCTTAAAGGCTTTGCTCAGAGCAGCTGCCTGGTAGACGGCACCCATAGCAGCAGCCTCATCGGCATTGATATTCTTGCCAAGTTCTTCTCTACGAAGTGAAAAGCGACAGACGTCAGCTTTGCAGCCGCTGCCGTGAACAGCAACTTGTCAATAGGAGACAGACTAGAAGGGGACCTCACATACTCACTTGCCCACAGCTTTCAGCAAAACCTCCTGCACTTTGGGGACCCGTGTGGCACCGCCAACTAGAATCACCTGGTCAATTCCATCCTAGGGATTGGAAACAGTCACCTTGTCTTGAGAAAGCAATTTTGGAAAGCTAAGTTCAGGGCTTCCTTACGCTCCTTCCCCCGTCACCACGCACTGACACGGTGCTCTGAGAATACCCATGCTACGTCCTGCCGTCCCGGTGCGCGTCAGTGCCTGATAGATCTCAGCCAGGCTGACACAAGCCATGCTGACATGAGGAACCTGGAGCCAGGTCTGGCAAACAGGGACGACATGACCGCTGCTTCAAGTCACCTGAAACGTGGGACTTGATTCAAAATTAGACAGGCTACAGTTTCACGCCAGAGGAGCCAGTGACTCGGACAGCAAGCTGGACCAGAACAGATGGAAACCCGGACTCTGAGCGGTGACTCAGTGTCTTGCATTGACTACCAGAGCCAAAAAATGCTTAGGAGCGTCCCGGCACCCTGGAAAGTGAGCGTTTAACAATGCAGTAAGTCTCTCCAAAGGACTGCACCGCATTTGGTCCAACTGCAGTCCGCAACAGGGCTTCTAAAGGGAGCGCTCAAAGGAGAAGCCTGAACAGCAATAATTCTGTTTCCAGGCACTTTGAGAGAAAGCTTCAGAAGAGGGACCAGAACCAGTAACCGAGACAAAAAAAAGGAAAGATCAGTGTTTCAAACCTAAAGCCCAAGAGTAAAGTTTTTTAACAGAAAGAAACGCCTCCTTCAAGTCCTTTGTTTCTGGTGCATAGTGCAGGGAGCCATGACAGCCTCCTGCTTGACACCGCGGCAGGTAACCTCACTGCAGAAGCACCACCGCTCTACTGCAATAGCGGGCGTCTGCAGCTCTCAGCAGTGCTGGTAACACAATCACTGATGCTTTGATCGTGACACGACAGCAGCTCCGTACATAGAAACTTCAGCCTTCTTAATGCATTCCTAAACCTACCAGGTTCATCTCTGCACTGCTCAGAGCCTGCTGCACAGGTCCTGGGACTCGCTGGAACAAGTCAGAGCACAAATCCTCAAATTCTTGCCTTGAGACCTTGGCCTTGAAGTCGATGTCATCCAGTAGCCCCTCAATCTGTTCAGAAAAAAAAACAGCCAGATGAAATTATTCGTGGAACATTCCCCAAGCAAAACCTTTGCCTGACTTGCCCAGCGTGCACAAAGTTCCAGCTTTCTTAACGCACCTGGGACCTGACCGCACTTACCCGAACCCTGCCATTGCTACGGTGACAAGAGAATGGAATGTGGAGATAACAGACAGCTTCTCTCGGTGAAAGTTTATTTACCAAGCTTCACACGACTAGCTCTCTCCCAATCCACTCATTTAATCACCAGTGGTACTAAGTGGGCACAAGTTGAGAGGAACCACCAGTGCCGCCACCA